GTGCGATGAGAAATAGGCAGGTTTTTTTTTAGTTTTTTCGGATCACAAAATTTAAAATGTCTGCGACTCAGTGCAGCATGGGTAACGTTGCCACTATAAACTCTTATCCTTCTTATCTCAACAGGAAACCAGCAGTTATTCCTTCCTGCCTCAATGTAGTGTAGCAAATTTTATTCCACAGGTATTGCTTGAACATGAACTGTGCGCCAGGCCTCAGGCTGGGTTCCCACCAAGAAGGAGACTCACTGTAGAGATTGAGAGTGGAACGGTCACACCCATCACTGTTCCATCAGATGACAAAGCAGAAAAGCCACAGTGGAGCTGGGGGTGAAGGCCACTAAACAAATAAACAGACACATTAGGAAATTAGCACAAAGTAACCTGCTATGGAGAGGGGTGGCCATTGTTATATCAAGGTCCTCCAAAGGAGGTAGAATTCCCTAAGTCTGCAGGGCAAGAAGCAGCCAGTCCTGCCCACCCCAGTGTAGAGCAAGCAGAGAAGTAGGTTGGTAAGAGGAACACATAGTGCCCTTTGTGAGCAGGCTGTCCATCTGTGGAAGGAGCTGCTGTGATCCAGCGGCTGGGTGTCCTTTATGAAGCTGACTGTTGTGCACACTTCCTCAGCCCATTTCATTCCACATGCCTTTCACATTTTCCACACATACCATGTTCCCTTTAGATGGTTTTCAAAATGGAAAAGCAGGATCATTATTATTATTATTATTATTATTATTATTATTCATTATTATTACCATTACTATTTATTTATTTATTTATTTATTTTGAGACAGGGTCTCTATTTAGCCCTGGTTGGCCAAGAACTCACTATGTAGACTAGGCTACCTTCGAACTCACAAAGATCCTCCTGTCTCTGCCTCCTGAGTGCTGGGACTAAAGGCATGTACCACGACACCCAGCCTAGCATTATTATTTTATTTTTTAAAACAACAAAGAGGGCTGAAGAGATGGCTCAGAGGCTCTGGCTTTGGTTCCCAGCACCCACATGGTAGCTGACAACCATCCATACATAACTTCAGTTCCAGAGGGTCCAATGTCCTCTTCTGACCTCCACGGACATTGTACAACATGGATACACTTACATACATGCATGCAATACACTTGTACACATAAAATAAAAATAATAATTTTTTAAAAAACAAAAAAAAAACAAAAAGAATTCATTAGACTAAGACTAGATTTTTGTCGACCAAGTGTAAAATTTGAATTTTGAGCTTCAGGATTTTATAGACACACATATATACCCTGGGCTAGAGAGATAAGTGTGTTATTTTTTAACTATACCTTAAGGTTTTGAAATTTAAGGAAATGTGGTCTTGCTCTTGCAAAAAAAAAAAAAAAAAGTGCAGATTTAAGCACTTTTCAGTTGATACCTTATTATCAAAAGGCAGTTGTTGACCTTGAGGTGTCTGCTGTTAACCACATGGCAGTGGTTTTATTTACTTTAGGTTATCATCTATTTCAACCTATGAATTCAGTGGCAATCTGCAAGTACTAAATATATTAGTAACATTTTGTAAGCTATATGGGAGCCAACTTGGGAAATAAATGTTCCCCTCCTACTAGTTTCATTATTATTAAAAGGTATGTTTCTCAACAGTTGTCTTTCTGAAAATCACAGTGTTGCACATTCAGCCCATGCTGTTTACAGCCCTCCCCCACACACCCCTATGCTGCCTCTTTGCCCAGGACCACTTGAATCTCTGTACTTCCTGCTGCTTATTATCCTATCCCACATGTTTTCCTAGCATCAACTGTGAAAAACTGGGGAAACATTACCTGAGGATCGTAAAGAAGGAAGTCCAAACTGTACAATAAGTTGAGGAGCTTGGGAAAACCTTGAGCATCCATAGGTGTTTTCCACAAGTTCCTGAAGCCCTGTTTTGTAGGGTTAGTTTCAAGATATGTTCTTCCCTGCTATTTGCAAGGCTCTCACTTTTCTCCCTTCACCCCTCCACTGCTTGACACCCAGATATCTGATATTCATTCTCTTCCACAATTAGTTTTACACTGATGCATTATTGTCTAGTGCTCTGTACTTACGATGTGGTTTTCATGCCTTATATATGTGTTCATGTAATTGAAGCATCTGAGGATACAGAACTTTGTTTAGCACTAACAGAGTAACATTCCGAAACTCTGATAGTATGTTTCTGGTTTCCTGGCCTTTATCAATTTTTTTTTGTATTTTATTTTATTATTTTATTTTATGTATGTGCATGTATTGCTTGCATGTAGGTAAGTGCATTCATGTTGTGCAATGCCCAAGGACAGAAGAGGCTGTTGGATCCCCTGGAACTGGAGTTACAGACAGTTGTTAGCTGCCATGTGGGTGCTGGGATTCGAATCTGGGTCTTCTGCAAGAACAACCAGTGTTCTTAACCACTGAGCAATCTCTCCAGCCCCTCAATTCTTATTCTGTATCTTACAATAGTCAAAACTTTTACGTCTCAATTTTAAATTATGATGGATTTCCTAAATAAAAGTATTTGATTCTGTCCTTTTATAATTCACACATAGCTTAAGCTCTAGAAGCTTTGGAAAAACACATCTTGTTATGTCCCTGTCCTTCTTTCCTGTTAGGCAATGACTTGAGTCAAAGGATTAAATTGGGAGCCATGCTCTGAGATCTTGCAACGTTTTGGAGGGGCATGTTCTTTTTCCCTCTTCCTGATTGGTCTCCCAGTCATTGTTGCATGAAGGAGAACTTGGGAAAAGAACAGTTCAGTATACTTGATTCAAAACCCAAATCTCCACCTCTAGAAGTTCTTCCGTTACCTTAGCTGAATGTCAGGCTCATATCTTGTTCATTTACTGACTTTCAGGTATTTCAAAACATAATGTGTTCTTGCATAGTTAAGTCTGGCCATAAAAGTACTTGTTTCTCATGGTGGCAGTGGACGCATCACCAGGGTCCTGTAGAAGATGATAGCAGGTGAGAGAGAAGGTGTGCCAACCTGTGAAGGTCATGTGAGGTTACTTCCCCCCAGCAGTAATATGTCCTGCAGAGAAAGAGTGCTTGAGTTGGAATCCCAAACATACAAAGAGCAGGCGTGGGGTCTAAGGCTACATGTCACTCACCTGTAAGTGGAGCCAGTAGCATCTTTTATGTGCATTGGACTCATGCAAGACTGAGGTTGTGGTGGCTGGGACCATGCTTACCTTGGCCCAGTCAATACTGAGTTAATGATTGCTCTTACTAGTATAGGGTTGAAGATAAGAGCACTTTGTCTCCATGTGCTGATGAGGCTGGGATTCCTAGTGCCCTGAAGGAGTAACAGTAGCATTTGCCACTTGTACCTTGTGCTGCTCAGGACTTTGCATATGCTTTTCACTATGGTTTTTCTCTTACATGATGTCTCTGATATTTCTTTCATTCAACCATATCGATAATTGCCTGGTCTGTGTTTATCTGTCCCTCAAACATTTCTACTTCTCCTTTGGACATTTTTGCATTAATTCCAGTCTCTTAATCTGGAAAACTCAGACACCCTCAAAGGAGCATCCCAGCCTAGCCCACTGCATGCTTCAACCTCTTGAAGTTTTTACCGTAGTTTAGCTGGAAACTGGGTTTTCTTTGTAGTTCATTACCTGAAGTTACTCAAAGAGCAGCGTGCTCATCAATAAGTTAGTCTGGTCCTACTTGCTGAATTCTTGCTTTCTGTTAATGCTGCCATTCTTTTAAGGAAGGTCCCATTTGGGTTTGCCTTTGTCCCTTTCTTCCTCTCCCCATGTAGATGTGTATTTACCTGGTCCAGTGATGCCACTGCTCCAATCTGATCAAGCCACTTTCCTCAAATCTTGGTTCTGGCCCTTTTAATCCATTCTGTTATTTATCCAGAACGCCAAAGTACACAACTGTGGTTGTATTGTCTTCTCTGTTCTGGATCCTCCTGTGATTTCTCACTACTAATATGTAGCTTAAAATCCTTAGCTTGCCTTCTGTTCCCTTCCTTCAACCCGAAACTGTAGTCAGGTTTGCTTATTCGGGGATGTCCAGTCCAATTCCCTTTGCTGTCTTCCCAGCAGTGCTGTTGTTGGCATGGATATCTCCTCAATTGGAATAATCTAGAAACTACTAGAAGGTAAGTGAACCAAGTAGCAGTAAATAAAGGGAGAAGACACAGGCTGAGACAAGCAAAGGGCAGGATGTGCAGGGGTCAGGTTCTTGTGGACAACAGCACGAGTCTTATCTTCATCACAAGCCCTCTGGTGGGCTGTCATGCAGCTGTAGGAACCTGTGATGTAGGTGCTTAGGTCAGATCTGGGTAAAGAAAGGATGGCAGATAGGGGTACGGTCGGGGAAGAGTGACAACAGGGAGGCCAGGGAAAACCAGTTGCAGAGGCTCAGCCAGGTATGTGGTGCATGAACCTCAGTACTGGCAGAGTGGAGGGAGACAGACAGACAAATCTGAGGTCCATTATGGAGGAAGAATAGCTAGGACTGTCAGAGAAGGTAAGATGAAGGGACTGGAGCATCTGGACTAACTTCTGACTCTAATTTTCATGAATGGGAGACAGTGCAGTGTGAACCTGGAAGGGAAAGGCTGTGTCCTGGCCTCACTCCCTGTACTGCCTGGGAAGCCCTTTAACCATTATTCTCAGTATTTTCTTTCCTGTGCTGTGCCTGACTGGATTTCAGATTCCCTAAAGGCTGCAGGTTGTGCTTGAACTGTTTTTGTTTTCCTAGCGCATGTATCACAGTGCCTTAGGTACAGGTGATGGTGAATGCATATTTAATGATCAGTAGAAGCTGTTCTGTACTCTTATCATCTGTAAGTCCTAATTGTATAGAAGTAAGCAATTAAAGAAATTGGAAAAGTTCCATTTTGTGGGTCATAAATAAGAAATGAAGCTTTTCTGTTCCCCTTTGCACTCAGAATTATTATTTAAAATGAGTCACTTGAAGTATAACCTGGCATTCTGTCAATGTGGTGTCCCGAGGCAAGCTCCCTACCACTCCATGCCTCCTGTCTCCACAGATGTGCACTGGAAACTACACCTTCATCCCGTACATGGTGACTCCACATAACAAGGTCTACTGCTGTGACAGCAGCTTCATGAAGGGCTTGACGGAGCTCATGCAACCCAACTTCGAGCTGTTGCTGGGCCCCATCTGCTTGCCTCTTGTGGACCGTTTTGTTCAGCTGTTGAAGGTGGCACAAGCAAATTCCAGGTAACACTTTAGCCCCATTTGGTGATGATCATGAGTACGGTTCTGGTTCATTTATTTGTGCCTCTTATCACATGTTCTTCAGGCAGTTAAGAACCAGGAAACAGTGTAAAATACCCTGTAAATAGAAAAAGTAGATGTCGTTTTAGTTCATGTTACATGTCATTCACTTAATTTACAAAACAACTCACTGTCCCCCCCAAAAAAATTCTTTTATAGTAATGGCAAAGCTGAAAATGTATATAAACCATTTATAGAACCATCAGAATAAATGTCTGGGGACTTCTAATGTAAGAACTAGAACTCTGAAAAATTTCTGGAAGCATATTTTAGTTAAGAATAATGATGGGGCTGATGATACGGCTTAATAAGTAAAGGTGTTTTGCTGCCAACTCTGATGACCTGAGTTTCATCCTTGGGATCCACATGGAGGAAGAAGGGACCCGATTCCCTCAAAGTTGTCTTCTGACCTCCAAAGGTGCAGTGGCATGACACACAGCTCCTTCACATAAGCATATCTATATATAATATATACTGGAAACTACACCTTCATCCCGTACATGGTGACTCCACATAACAAGGTCTACTGCTGTGACAGCAGCTTCATGAAGGGCTTGACGGAGCTCATGCAACCCAACTTCGAGCTGTTGCTGGGCCCCATCTGCTTGCCTCTTGTGGACCGTTTTGTTCAGCTGTTGAAGGTGGCACAAGCAAATTCCAGGTAACACTTTAGCCCCATTTGGTGATGATCATGAGTACGGTTCTGGTTCATTTATTTGTGCCTCTTATCACATGTTCTTCAGGCAGTTAAGAACCAGGAAACAGTGTAAAATACCCTGTAAATAGAAAAAGTAGATGTCGTTTTAGTTCATGTTACATGTCATTCACTTAATTTACAAAACAACTCACTGTCCCCCCCAAAAAAATTCTTTTATAGTAATGGCAAAGCTGAAAATGTATATAAACCATTTATAGAACCATCAGAATAAATGTCTGGGGACTTCTAATGTAAGAACTAGAACTCTGAAAAATTTCTGGAAGCATATTTTAGTTAAGAATAATGATGGGGCTGATGATACGGCTTAATAAGTAAAGGTGTTTTGCTGCCAACTCTGATGACCTGAGTTTCATCCTTGGGATCCACATGGAGGAAGAAGGGACCCGATTCCCTCAAAGTTGTCTTCTGACCTCCAAAGGTGCAGTGGCATGACACACAGCTCCTTCACATAAGCATATCTATATAATATATATATATAAAATATTATATATATGAAGTAAAAAAGTAAAAAGTATTTTTAAAGTTTTTAAGAAGAATAATTGTTTATGTTAATGGATGATGATGCTGAGTGAGAAAATCAAGGTTATATTATGTTCACATCGTAGGCCTGTCTAATTCAGTTAGGACAAATTCCATTCAAAATAGTAAAATGAAAATAAAGTTTGGGCATTTTCTGAAATAAGGCAGACAGTGAAAAGAGATACAGATTTCTAAGTAATGTCAAATGGGTGAGCTACTCCTGTGAATCTTAAGGAATTGACAACAGTTCATGCACAAATGTCATTTATTTCCTTATAAAATTCTCACTGTTTTTCACTCAAAGTTTTTCTAGTGTTAAACTCTTTGAAATGTGTTTTTGGTTGTTTTTTTCACCAGCCAGTATTTCCGAGAATCTATACTCAATGACATTAGGAAGGCTCGGAATCTATACACTGGTAAGGAACTGGCTGCTGAGTTGGCAAGAATTCGGCAGCGAGTGGACAATATTGAAGTCTTGACAGCAGATATCGTCATCAACTTGCTGCTTTCCTACAGAGATATCCAGGTGAGAAGACCGCGAGAAATCTGTCATGTGGCTGGAGGAAGGAGATGTTGACCTTGAGTTTCAGTTAGCTAATAAGTAGTTCGAGGTGCTGCATGTAACTTTTTATTGACTCTCGTAAGCTTTCTGTCTTGCAATTTTATGATGAATAAAAAAGTCTCACATTAAGCCGGGCGTGGTGGTGCACGTCTTTAATCCCAGCACTTGGGAGGCAGAGGCAGGAGGATCTTTGTGAGTTCGAGGCCAGCCTGGTCTACATAGTGAGTTCTAGGACAGCTGGGGCTACAAGGAGACCCTGTCTCAGAAAGACACACACACAAAAAAAAGTCTCACATGAACCGGGTGTGGTGGTGCACACGTTTAATCCCAGCACTCAGGAGGCAGAGGCAGGCAGATCTCTGTGAGGCCGGGTGTGGTGGTGCACACGTTTAATCCCAGCACTCAGGAGGCAGAAGCAGTCAGATCTCTGTGAGTTCAAGGCCAGCCTGGTCTATAGAGTGAGTTCCAGGCAGCTGGAGCTACAGGGAGACCCTGTCTCAAAAAGACAAAAAAAAAAAAGTCTCACCTGTATTATTAACTATCTATGATTACAAAATACTTGTATTTACTTTTCCTCAAAATATGTTCACATACCAACCCCTTGGAAGCTCTCTGCTCTACTCGGGAGAGCCTCAGGCATACATGTCAGTCAGTTAGTGAGAGCTTTGTTTTGGCAAATAGTAGAAATTCTTAGAGCTTTCTGAACATATCTTTTACTTCCTAAAATTGTGTTATTGGAAAGTGATAATGCCAAGAGCAAGAAATATGTAGCTAATTAGAAAAGTAACTTAAAAGTATTATGTAAGGACACAAAAACACACTGCTTCATTTCTACTGATACATCTCAGAAGTTTAAAAATAAGGTAAATAGAATCAGATCTCTCAGTTCAGCATGTGCTGTTAGGCTTGTGTAGTATCTGGTTTCTTATCTCCATTCCTAGCCTTTTGGATCTGTGAAAATCTTCAACAGTGACTCGATCCATGGGAAACGATGGCAATTTGGAACCTGTCACTAGAGGAGGTCACTCATGAAATGAAACCATTTTGCTACTTATAGCAGTTCAGTCAGTTAACTCTGCCCTTCAAATTTTTAATGTCCCTGATTGTAACAGATAGAGCATGATAGACTAGGAGCCTGGCTGTGTGAAAAGAACAAGGCATAGTTCTATGGTTTATTTGTTGGGTTTTTTTTTTAAGGGGGAGAAGAGTTGCCCAACATCATAACTATATTTTTTATGCATTCATTCATGTAATCAAGGCTTCTTAGAAGAACAGCAGTTTCTTCTAGGTTTTCCAAAGGTTTCCATAGTCTCACTTCTCATTTAATCCCTCCTCAGATTCTGATGTCTGGCTGTCAAAAGGCATTTCGTTGTTAGAACTTTCTCCTAATGATTTAATGCTATGCTCTTCTCCTTTTTGTTGAAAGGACTATGATTCTATTGTGAAACTGGTGGAGACTCTAGAAAAACTGCCAACTTTTGATTTGGCCTCACATCACCATGTGAAGTTTCATTATGCATTTGCCCTGAATAGGTAAGATATTCCCTTCCAGGATGTATTGTGATTGTTCAGCTCATTATAGAGTCCCTATAGCATCACAACAAAGCCCAACTAGAATGTCATAGTAATATATCCACCTCAGCTGTGTGAACTATTGAAAACCTGCATTCTGATTTCTTTTGATTTTTGTGTTTTTGAGATGGCGATCTCATTGTGTATCTCAGGTTGGCCTCGAACTTGTGATCCTCCTGATTCAATCTTTTGAGTGCTAGGATTGCAGGCTTATGCCGTCAGACCTGCCCCTCCCTCTCTCTTGGTGGTGTCATTTAAAAACAACTCTATTTGTATATTCAAATTCTTAAGATTCTTTTTTTCTCTGATAGTTTGTATTTGCTGTCTGTATTTTTATAGCCTTCAATATTTTGTTAATATGACACTACTTTTAAGGAAATACAGTTGTCCTTGGGTATTTTTCAGAAGTTGGTTCCAGGACCCCTTAAATATAATACCCGAATCTAAGGATATTCAGGTCCTTGTGTAAACAGTATATTATTTCGTATAACGCATACACATCCCCCATATACTTAAAACCATTTCTAGATTACTTATAATGTCTAACACAATAGAATGTGATACAGATAATAGTTGCATTGTACTGTTGAGGGAAAAAGTTCTGTGCATATTCAGTATAAATATTTGGTTTCCCAAATATTTTCACTGCATATTTGATTGAGTCCAGGACTGTGAAACCCGGATATCCACAGGGCTGCCTATATGTTCAACATCACATGGTCCTTCATATAACAGTTAACTGAAATATAAAGATAGTTATGTGTAGGTGAATGTTTTCCTCACTCAGAGAATATTTTCATCAGGACTACTGTGAATAAAGCTAGCTATGACCAAGACTCTGTTGGTCCCATCTTAGATTATGTGCCCATGAACCTGTTTGGATTATGACCGACTGTTCTCCCAGTTCTCTCTCTGCCTTCTGTCTAAGCCATAGCACATCTCATTGCTACTTCCTGGCTAGAGTCACCTGGACGGGTTGTCTATGCTTTGGTCATAGATGGAGCTAGAGCCCTGAGCAGTCCAAAACTTAGTTGTACTGCTTGTTTCTTATATGTGTATATATGTATGTATATATACATATATATGCCATAACTGAAGAAAATGGTGGGAAAAGGGAGGTGATATCCCATTTTTAGCATTTTCCCTGAGTCATCTCATTGTCCTTACAACAGAGGCCACTGCACCTTGGGAAGTTTGAGGAACGGTCCTGGAAGCCTGCCAGTGAACATGCTGCTCTCTAGAAAGCAGGCATGGTGCTCAGCCAGAGGCTCTGTCCTTCCTTCTTTAACCCCCACACTGGAGAATGTGTCCATTTAATCTTCCTGTTCATTAAATATCTTCTACATTTGATAGACTTAGAAGGGGCCTCCAGAAGTTAACCTCTCTAATTTGTTTCAAACAAATTCTTTTATGGAGGGGAAGTAATATGATACATTTTGAAATGAAACTAGAGAGTCCTAGGAGTTTTTTAAAAAATTTACTTTGGGTATTTTGTCTCTCCTCCAAAAATAGCATGTATAGAATGAAAAGCGGATTTTTATAAAGCAACATTCTAAACTCAAGACACTTAGTACAAAAGGCAAATAGGAATTTTATGAATAGAAGATTTAAAGAGGCAGATGAGAATGTGAGAATTCTTATGATAACTTTTGAATAATAGCTTTGTTAACGTAACTCATATACCATGCAATTTATTCATTTAAAATGTCATTTCAGTGGTTTAAGTATACTGATAGAATGATTTAACTATTGTTCCTGAAAATTATGGGATACTTTTCACCCCACAAGAGAACTCTCTACCCATTAGCAGCCACCTTCTTCCCTACCCTACATGGGACTTCTCTACCCATTAGCATCCTATTTCCCACCCCAAATCTTTCAGCCCTTAGCAACTACTAGTCTCTCTTCTGTCTATTTTGATTTGTTTCACTGTAGACATTTTGTATAATGGAATCATTTTTTCAATGGCCTTTTATGACTGATTTTTTTTACTTAGCATAATGTTTTCATCATAAAGGAAATGTAAACTCTTAAGAAAATTTTTGTGTGTTTTTGAGACATGTCTATACCTATGACTTAAAAATGACCTACATAGAGTTGAAGGCCAGTCCAATTAACTTAATGAGTTCCTGTCTCAAAATAAAAAGTAAAGAGAGGACTAGGGACATAGCTCAGTGGTAGAGTGCTTGCCTGGCATGCCCAAAAACTCATGTTCAAGTCCAATACAATAAGAACTCATAAAACATGTAGAAATCAAGAAACTCTTAGATAGATTTGGGATTTAGGTATTATCTATGAATTAGTTTTCTTGGTGTTTTGGAATGAAAGCCATCAAAACTTAGCAAGAGTTTGTCTCTATTGGAAGTAATTGATTCTGCTCCATTCAAGGTCACAGGCTGTGTACTCTACCACTTTGAATGTGCTTATATGCAGCAGGGAAATTAGGACTGTGAACAGGGAAGTACAAGTCTATTACCATAATCAGAAGAGCAACTCACAAGAGACCTTTGATAGGTCCAGTCCACAATAAGATAAAAATTCTTAAGGAGGGTCCATAGAGGATTCTCAGAATCTAATTGTTTTTATTCTGCCAACTTTCTTGATGCAAATCAATACATGAAGTACAATTTTAAAAAGGCAGTTGGCCTGTAATTGCATAATTGCTTTTATGATCTGTATTGAAATAATGTTTTCTACTTTAGGAGAAACCTTCCCGGAGATAGAGCAAAAGCTCTTGATATTATGATTCCCATGGTGCAAAGTGAGGGGCAAGTCGCTTCAGATATGTACTGCCTCGTTGGCCGAATTTACAAAGATATGTTTTTAGACTCCAATTTCACTGACACTGAAAGCAGGGACCATGGAGCATCTTGGTAAGTGCAGAGGATGGAAAGTAGCTGTGAACTTGATAAGTCCATGATATATGCAACTGTGTGTAAGTGAGAGGAATGAAGTATTACAACTTTCTGTCCAGCTGTGTTTTGTGAGCCAAATCTCAGCTTTTCTAAATTTAGTACATAATTTGATGAAATTAACTTAATATGGCAGGAAAGTTGGCATAAACCATGAAAAAATAAGAACATAATTTTTTAAAGATTTGAAATGTATAGTATGAAAAACAAAATATATTTTGTGGGAAAATGTAAAGAATGACATTAAACTAGACCTGAAGGATCAGAAAAATATACTGAGTTTGTGGAAAAGGAAGCCTGATATTTTAAAGATTTTAATTGTTTCAGCAGGGTTTTTCATGTGAATTGATAAATGAATTTGAAAGTTTATTTGAAAGAATAAAAAGCCAAGAATAAGCAAAGCAATTTTGGAGAACAGATGGAAGGACTTGCTTTACCAGATAATAAAATTCACTATAAAGTTATAATAATTAAGATACTGTAGTGTGGCTGTAGGCCTGGGCAAATAAAACACTGGAACCGAGTGAGGTGTATGACACAGTTTGCTAAGCTTCATGAGCCTGGAGAAAGGATGGCTTCCTCAGCAGTCCTGTTTATCTCCTTAGAAAAGTAAAATAAAATTGGGTCCTGTTTTATTTTGTTATTTTTTATGGTACTGGAGTTCAAACTTCAGGCCCTTATTCATGCTAGGTAAGCATTCCACTCCTGAACTGTATCCTCAGCCCTGATCTCTTTTTTTAATCCCCGTGTAAAAATTTAATTCTAACTGAATTAAATGACTAAAACATAAAAAATACTTTAGGAAAAAAAGGCTATGTTTATGACTTTGGAATAGGAATTTCTTTTTTAAAATATTTTCTTTATTTTTTTTAAATTTTATGTGAATGCATGCATGTATGTGTATTTCCTGCATGTATGTAAGTTCACCTGTGTCATGCAATGCCCATGGAGAGCAGAAGAGGCTGTTGGATTCCCTGAAGCTGGAGTTACTAGACAGTTGTTGGCCACTGTTTGGGTGCTGGGATTCAAACCCGGGTCTTCTTCAAGAACATCCGGTGTTCTGAACCACTGAGCCATCTCTCCAGCCCTGGGAATGAATTTCTTAAATAAGGCTTAAAAATACAAAAAAAGAAAGAAAGGAAGGAAGAAAGAAAGGCGGGGGGGGGGGAAGAGGGATAAAAAAGGCAACGAG